TCTGACCCATCAAACATGGCGCTTTTCGTAGAAGACAGCGATATGAGTGTCGTGGAGGCAGCATTGTCCTTCTTGGACGAATTCGACCTCGACGTGCTCAGTCCAGCTTTCGAGTCTACGTCCCATGCGGCACAAAAGCTTGCGATCTCGACTAAGCGTGTGGCATCAAGTGACACAAGTCCATCAGAAGTTAAGACAAATGATGCAACGAAGAGGTCGGGGATGATACCTGAAAGGAAGAAGGTTCTACACGCTGTGGGTGTCTATGGCAACTCGAACCGCGTGCGCAATAACCCCCGCATCGAAATTCTTTACCTCAAAGAGCAACTGGAGAAACTACAGATCGACCTAGAAGTGCTCAAGAAGCAAAAGGAAGGAGACGTGACTAGAACGAGAGCAGCAAGAGCGACACGGTCGAGACGACAAACGTATGCAGCTCAACAGTCAACGGCTGACGCCATAGTAGCGACGAACACCCCGACCATGACGACGGTGTGGGAGAACATAGCGGACAGCCAACGACGACGACGGAAGAAGGCCGAGTGTGAGAACATTCGCCTAAAGATGGTCATCGAGCACCAACAGAAGGTGGCCGACAACCTGCGCAACTTGATTCAAAAGCGCGCGAGTCAACTAGGAGCCGAGTGCTCTTTCTTCACAGATGTGAACTACACGAACCACCATGTACTGGACTTGCAAGGTGACGTGGGCGAGTTCCAGAGTTTGTTTCGCCACTTGGATAATGCGTATCAAGAGCTGGACGCCGTGTTTGCAGCAAACGGTCTGAACAACATGGTGGTGACTCGAAGTGATGTTCAAGTACGAGACTGCGCGGGCGGCAAGTACGTTGAGTTGTTATTCAACAAGGTGTTACCATTCAACCTCCAGGACGCGAGACAAGCTACGTGGGAACATTTCCGCGGATCCGAGAAGCACATGGGCAACGGCCGACTGTACCAGAAGACAGTAAAGGTACTCCCATTAACGGTACTTGCAGCTTTGACCAAGCTAACATGATGTTTTCTGTGGCTATGTGCTGCAGGACGTCAACGTGTTCGATACAATCCTTGAAGAGTTCACGAAGGAGATGCATTCAAACAGTGCACGTGTTGATGCGAACATGAAGCAAGTCATTCGACGCTACATGGAATTTGATCGCGATGTCATTACCATTGTCCGAAATGTATCCCCAGCGGAAGTGAAGCACAAGATGCTTACCAGCCTACGGTATCAAGTTCGATGCTACATCGTGACGAAGCGATCCTCAATATCGACACCAGAGCGTGAAGTGTGTCAACTACAGTGCTGCTCACTGATTTCATTCGAGGAAGAGACGGTGACACAACTTGGTCCAGATGCCATTCGCACACTGTCGAACTTTTTAATTGACAGTTTGGCTGCGAAGATGCAAGCCCACCAGGATTGCATCGAGAATGCTCTAATAGACCACGCACTGCATGTGCACTAGTTGTGCGAAGGTCTGTTCAGCCCTTTGCTTGATGTTTGGATTTAGATATAGTATCGTTTTCAACATTGTATAGGCTGGATAAAATCATTTTTTTTACAAATTGAATCGAGATCGAGGTGAGGTCAATGAGAACAGAAATACCATGTAGAACAAAAGGGTAAAGCTCAGTTGATTTTGATTTTCAGTAGGCCACAGTCGCAAAAAGTGAGAATTTCGCGAATTATGGTTGAATATCATCACCGTGCTGACACAATTTTTAACTTGATTAAAGTATCGGCAATATGACTGACAAGACGGTTTTTGACCAATGAAATCAGTATTAAAAATATATCAACCAGTAACACACATTAGGGATAGGGTAAAATGGCACCGACGCTATGCCGACGTATAATGCAGGCAAGGGGGAGGAAATATGTTGAGAGACAATACAAGCCACAAATTTAGCGCACATCATTCGTGTATTTGCTTTCTCGCCGACAAAACACTCCAACTCATTATGAGTCTGGAAGACCTCGCTCCCTTAAACTCTCAGCGCGCTCGAGAAACGGCAATCAACACCTTCGATCGCTTTATTGCTGCCGAGGGCGTCTCCATGGACTTCGTTGTGGCATCTATGGTGGCGGATGCAAGTGGTGCCGTCTTGCTAAAGCTGCTGGACCGTTTCGGCGTACACCTAGCATTTTTGGAGGGCAGGGGAGGCAAACTACTTGCAAGGAACTCCGTCATGAGCTACT